CTGGGCTCAAGCCCACGGTGGAGCTTGAGCTCTAGGAGACCTCAAAGCCTGCTTATACTTTCTCCAACAGGGTCGCACCTATTCCAACGAGATGGAGAATGGGGCACCATTGAAATGCTTTGAGTTTTTCTTTATTTTGCATTTTTTGTTTTTTTAAGAGACAGGGTTTCTCTGTGTAGCTCTGGCTGTCCTCGCTTTTAGACTAGGCTGGCTTTGAACTCACAGAGATCTGCCTGCCCCTACCTCTCTAGTGCTGGAATTAAGGGTTTATGCCACCACTGCCTGGTGACTTTTTTTTTTAAAACCCAATAACAGTCCTTCTGTTTACCTGGTCAGAGTCCTTCTTTTTAGGACATCATCACCAGCACTGCCATTTTGGAACCTGCTTTGGACTTAACAAAAGGACTTGCTGCTGGTTTACAGTTCAGAGGTTCACTGCATTCTCATCATGGTGGGAAGCATGGCAGCATGCAGGCAGGCATGGTGCTGAAGGAGCTGAGAGTTCTCCATCTTGATCCACAGGCAGCAGAAGGAGACTGTGTGCCACACTGGGCATAGTGTGAGCATTTAAGACCACAAAGCCCCACCTCCAGAGTGACACAATTCCTTGAACAAAGCCACACCTCCTCCAAATAAGGTCATACCTCCTAATAGTGCCACTGCCTATGTCCAAGCATTCAAACAGAATCAATCTGTGGGGGCCATACTTACTCAAACCATCACAGTAGGCTTTGAGATTTCAAAAGACTCAAGTCATTCCCTCTCCACCTTCAGCTTGCAGATCAAGATGTGAGCTCCCAGCTGCTGTCCCATCTCCCTGTCGCTGGGCACTTGTCCCCTTCATAGATTCCATCCCTCTGGAACTCTAAGCCCAATTAAATATTTCTTTTATAGGTTGCCAGCCTTGATGCTGTTTTGTCACAGTAATAGAAAAGGACCTGAAATTTGGTACCAAAAAGTATACCACTGCTGTGACAGACCTGACCATGTATACCACTGCTGTGACAGACCTGACCAAGCATACCACTGCTGTGACAGACCTGGCCATGTATACCACTGCTGTGACAGACCTGACCATGTTGATCTTTGGAGGAGTGTACAAGACTGGGACTCTGTCGTAGGAAAGTAGTTGTAGTTTGTGAGCAGGTCTTCACAGGATCCCCTATAGGAGCTTGCAAGCAGAGCACTGAGAGCTCTGCAGACTGCGGAGGCGTAACTCAGGGCGGGTCAGGAAGGAACAGTATTGGCAAAACTGGGCTTGACACCATTCTTGTGATATTTTGGCAACGAATGTGGCTGCTTTCTGCCCTTGTACGAATTTGCCTGAGACTAAATGTAAAATTAAACTAATTTTGTTATTAAATCTTATGCAGAACTATAATAGTATACACACACGTATATTACTGGGATGGCTATCTATCTATCTATCTATCTATCTATCTATCTATCTATCTATCTA